CGGGGGGGGCATCTCCCCGCTCCCCGCCGCCCCCCGCCGGGACCGGGATGGCGGCCAGGCTGCCATAGCGTGGCTCATCCTGGTCGCTGACAGAGGAGCCAGGGGAGACGCCGGCGCTCTTGGCTGGGCGGAAGCCATGGAAATCCTTCCCCATCTCGCCCAGTTCGTAGGCGTCCGGCCCCTCCGGCCCCTTCGGCCCCGATTTCCACTCCCAGGGCCCATTGCCGGCGGAGAGGTGGACGACGGGGTGGTGCGGGGCGTGGGCGTCGATGGTGATGATGCTGGAGCTGTCCCGCTCAGAGGGCGAGCGGTACTGGGAGGAGTCAGAGCTGGTGGAGGAGGAGGAAGTCTCCGAGTGCTTGGGGGTGACAGAGACCATGCTTTGCTGCTTGGACATGGCAATGACCTGCATCAGGCGCGGAGGGTTGGCCACCCGCTGCGCTCCCCCCTTCTCCGCCACCATCACCCACTTGGCCCGCACGGCCGCCCCACTGCTGGCTGGGATGCTGGCGCCCGCCTGGCTCTCCTCGGGGATGTGCACCAGCTGCGAGGTGCCCGGCCGGGGCTGGATGAGGACGCGGGGGCCCATTGCCGCCCGCTCGGCCGAGCGTGCTTGCACCGTGGGGTACAGGGAGGGGGGGACATCCTCGCCGGCGTCCCCCGTGCCCCGGCTGTGTGCCGCCTCCTCCGCCAGCATCATGCTCCGGCCCTCCAGTGACTTCTGCTTCCACTCGGTGATGAGCTGCTTGGAGCGGGAGGCGTCCACGGGGACATGGATGGTCATGTGGCGCCGTGCAGGGTCGTCCATGGAGGGGGTGTTGACGCGGGGCAGGGTGTTGCTGAAGGTCACCATGTTCTCCTTGCCCATGGGGCTGCGGGGGGCCAGCAAGTCCACGTCCACACTGGCCCGCTTCAGGCTGCCCAGGGAGTTCTTCTCCCGCGGCACTGGCCGCGCCGCCTCCTCCAGCCGCGTCTGTGGGTTCAGCTCATCGGTGCTCACTGACTTGTTCTGGTGGTAGACGGAGTCATGGCCCCGCTGCGTCAGTGCCCGCAGCGCATCCTTGGCTGGCGCCGGCGCTGGGACCCTCTCCATCGGGGCACGGAAGTTGCCGACGGCGTGGTAAGCCTGTGTGAGGGGGAGGATGAGGTCAGCCCAGCCCCGGGACCGCGGCCCACACCGAGCATCCTTCCCTCCCGAGCCACTGCAGCTGCCCCAAGGGCAGGGACCAGCACCCACCAGGTAGGCAGCGATGCCGGAGCCAATCAGGAAGCCCACGTAGACGTCGGCGGGGTGGCTGCGGTACTGGGTGATCTGGGTCAGGCCACAGATGCCAGCAGCGATGGCAAAGGCGAAGACCAGGATGGGCTTGAGGAGTTTGGTGCTGTCCGAGATGATGGAATTGAAATACATCTGGCAGTGGCGACGATGGGGCAGGAAGAGGCTGTTAGTCGCGGCTCACGGCACCGGCACCTGCTGCCATCACGGCACCGCAGCCTCCCCTCTCCCCAGCCCCCAGCCATGCAGAGAGCTCTTGGGTGCATGTGGAACTGTAAGTGCCTGAGCGTGCATGGGTGAGAAGCTGTGCACGAGTGTGCACACGGGTGTGCACGCACCCACGCCCCAACATGGGCACACGTGTGTCGGGCAGAGCTTGTTTGTGCACGGGAGGGCGTGTGCCAACAGGAGAGGGATGCTGCTGCCCGGCGGCATGGAGCTCATGCTGCCCCCAAGCCGGCACAGGCAGGGCCGAGAGCCGGGCAGCACTGGGAACTCACCGACACGTAGACGGCAGCGAAAGCCGAGAGCGTCGCGTGCTGGGATGGGAAAGTCTTCCTGCGGGGGAGACAGGGGGGTGCAGTTGGGATGGGGCAGGAGACGGGGGGGTGCAGTTGGGATGGGGCAGGAGGGTTGGCATCACGGCGTGGGTCTCTCCCCCCGGCACATACCTGGCAGAGAGGATGGCGTGCTTGTCCGTGCCCGAGCAGATGTCCTGGGTGATGTAGGGGTTGGCGTCGCAGGGGGTGCCCAGCAGCGTGTAGTTGGGCTTGCAGACGGTCAGGAAGAAGGGCGCGTGGTAGCCAGTGGCCAGCTGGATAACGTCCGTCACCAGGGCCGTAGCACAGAGCCCGAACACGTGGACGCCTGGGCATGGCAGGAGCAGTCCGGTGGGTCACCCCCCTGTCCCACACAGGGCACCCAGGGCCCACCCAGCCCCGGGGCACCCACAGGCGCTGGGACGGGTCCAGTGCGGTGTGTGGGGTCTGGGTGGGGCTGTGCATTCCTGCTATCGCATCCGGGGTGCCCCCATGTCCCCTCCAGCCCCGGGCCCATCAGACCAGCCCCCACGGCGGGCAGGGCTCCTGCCCGGGCTGCGGCACAACGTACCCACAAACCTTACGGTCCGGCGCAGGAAGGAGTTGAAGTTGCAGCCGCCAGCGTTAATGCTGCCCTCGGCACCGGCGCGTCCCTTCAGCCTGGACTGCAGGCAGTACACGATGCCCTCCCCGACCATGATCTGGGGAGGAACTGGCAGCTCAGGGGGTGCCACCCCGTGGGGATTGGGGGGGTCCGGGCTGTCGGCGGTGCCGCCCTGCGGATGCAGGGCACCACCAGGCTCCCCGCACCAGTCCCCTGGTGCTGCTGGCACTGGGACCCCAAGCCCTGGCTCTGCCACTGGGCAGGCTCCATCCTCACCCCCCCCGCAGCGGGACGAGCCCTGGTACACACCGAGGCGGCGGGTGCGGCGAAAGCCAGGCTGAGCAGCATGAGCAGGGGGATGAGCTCCTCGTTGGTCTCCACGTAGGGCATGGAGAGGGCCCGGTCGTAGCACTGGAAGCCCACCTTGGCCGGCTTGAAGAGGTCCGTCAGCTCCAGGAAGTAGAGCGTCACGATGGAGGAGGCCACGATGGGCAGCTGGGGAGGCAAAAGCATAGGGACCACTGCGCCGCCCAGTACAACGGGCACCGGCATCGCGCAGCCCCGCCGGGAAGGGGCAAAGCCCCCGTCCCCTCCATGCCAGGGCAGGACCAGGGCCTGGGGAAAGAGCCCCCGGCTCAGCCCCCCACCCCCCCACACACCCTGCACCCACCTCCACGAAGTAGAAGCAGGGCAGGAGCGTCATGCTGTCCTTGGGAGCCCTGGCCTTCTCCTTGGGGGGGATCATGGCC